TGTTAGTAGTGTTAAAATATATGTCAATTTTTATAATTTTTAATGTTAATTAATTACAAAAAAATATATTTATTATACCATTAACCTATCAATTTAAAATTGAAATTAATCTTAAGTAATTTTAAAAATAAAATCAATTACAACTTTAGATAATAAAATAAATGAAATCTTTTTAAAACTAAAATTAAATGAAATTAATTTAAAATTAAAATTAATCTCAAATAAGTTTGGAAATAAAATCAATACAAGAAAAAATAATTTTATAGTTAATATGATATTAATGTTTTATACGCCTTTTAAAGAAAAATATATTTGTATTTTAACAAATTTAATGAGTGAAATTAATCTCAAATTAAAAAAAAATTGAAAATAAAGTCTTAAAAATTAATAATGACTTTGATCAATAAATTAAAAATGATTTTAATTAATTTTGAAAATAAAATAAATTAGTGTAAAAATAATTTATAATTAATAAAATAAATTAAATAGTATTTATCAAGTTGACTAGTTAACTTAACTAGTTAGACCAATTTATCTAGTTGAACCAAATTTAGTAACCAAAATGGATTGAACCCCAAGCCAAGTTTTAAAACATTGGTTTTATGGTTTGTGATATATAAAGTGCAAAGTAATTAAAAATTTTCAAAAACAATTAATAAAAAAAAATATGCTTTTAACCTCTACCTAAGAGTTTCTTTAATAATTAAAGTATAGTGTAGCCTATATATTTATTATAGATATAGATATAAAAAATATGGGATTTATATTTTTGTAGTTTATTTAATAAATTTATTAAAATATTTTTAATAAAATCAAATTTTAAATTATTTTATTAAAAATATTTTAATAAATTTATAAAACAAATTATATTTTTAATTTATAATTTATTTTATAAAATATTTTTTAAAATAAATATTGTTCAATGTTATAGTGGTGCCCAACTCTTAATATTTGATAATAAAGGTTATGTGGACCTAATGATTTTTTCTTTTTTAAACGTTGAAGGTGGGAATCAATTCTCACACTTGCAGAATATAGCATGAAAAATTCTTTACAAAACAAAGGTGACGATTAGGCCACAATCTTGTGTGTTTAATGATTTTTGGTATAAGAGGAAGACATGATTTGAATGAGAATTTTATTTTATAGTTTAAATTATATTAAATTATAAAATCAAATTTATTAAATAAAAAATTATTGTAAAATTAAAAAATTTATTTTTTTATTTAATAATTGATATAATATAATTTGATGCATAAACCGTACTACACTTTTTCTAATCTAAATTGCAAACAAGTAGTACATATAGATATGATCTATAATATTATCCTCAAAAAAAAAAAGATATGATCTATAATATTGTATTTGCAAACCATCATTACACGTGTATGGTCCACTTTGAGTCTTGCAACAACCGTATGACAGCCGCAGTGATCGACGCTTTCTCTCCTTCTCTTTAACGAAGATATCCGTTCCCCCAAAATTCACACACTGTGCTTTTCCCATTTCACGACCTTGTCGTCGGGGAAAAAAATAATAATAAATAAATAAGAAAACCACTTCACCTCTTCCTTCCGACAGAGTCACTGAAGAACCAGATATTACTGCAACAGCACCACACTCAAATGCCACGCCAGTCTCTCTAAATCCAATACTGAAGTACCCATTAGCTCAGAAGTTCCTACAACGGTAAGCCAAGGATTAGGAGGCAAATGGGTGTTTCTATGGAGTCTTGGTGCTTCTGCAAAGGGATGAGCAAGACGAAGAGAATGAAGGCCGCCATTTTCTCTGGCAAAGCCACGGCCTTGGCTAGCATCTCTGGCACCACCAACAGAATTCACGGGACTGGGTTTCTGATCCACCGGAATCTGCTTTTGACTACCCACGTCAACCTCCCGTCAGTGGCTGCGGCGGAGAGCGCTGAGATCCGCCTCCAAAACGGCGTAGGTGCCACTCTTGTTCCTCACAGGTTTGTCTCTTATTTGATTGCGCCGCCGCTTTCCATTTGTCGTTTCTTTTTCTGGGTATTTGTTTAATTAATGGGCAATGCGGGGCAAAATAAAGGAAATTAAGAAGTAATGAGAGCATCTCTGAACTTTCAATTATGAATCATACCAATAACAATGAACTTCTATTTGATATTAAAGGGTATGAGGTCAGTATTAAAGTTGGGAGCTTTTGAATGATTATTTGAGTTTTATTTTGCTAAGTAATGATTTGTATCAATGCTCTTTCATTATAGTAACTTAGGTGATGGATCTTGTATTCTAGTTTCCAGGTTAAGGGGCATCATCATAATAATTTAGGCAATTATTTTCCTATTTTTTTACTTTTCTCCCAAGAAGCTCCAAAATCTAAATATCAGTTTAGTGGTTTCTTTGCCTGGATGGATGGATAGTGAATAATGTTTCGGCAGTTGTGATTCCAATCCATTCCAATATCTCAAATTTGTGGTTGGGGTGCGGGGTTGAATGTCTCACTTTTTACTTGAATGCGTGGACTGATCTAAACTGTGGGCGGGGTATGTTTAATTTTTTTTCATGTTAGTAAATGTATTGACTATTTGAGTGTTGAATTCATTAAATTTTTATAGATATTTGAATATAGAATCTTACTAAATTTACTGGTAGGTAGTTTAGATTTTTCATTAATGTAATGTACTGTGGAGTACATAAGATTCATGCATACCTAAAGGCTGTCATCTCATATTAAGCTGTTGGTTGGTGGCATTTTAATTGTCTCAATGAAATCCTGGATTTTATAACTATTTTAGCCAAGGCAATAAATTAGAACGTCTACGAATTGCAGGCTTGTCCTGGTAGGCATTTTTTCACTTCACATTTGACACATAAGTAACAAAATTGCCATGTGGCAGAATTGAAGAAACTCTAGTAGTCACTTGGTTCTATTGGCACCATATTGATACTACTAGTCTTTGCATTGTTCTTAAGCACAATAGTCATAGTTCTTAAGCTCAAGTGTAGTTGGTTCCCTTTTTGCCACCTGAAATTAGGTTGAGCAGAACTGAGGCAGCAATGATTTTATTATTGTAAATTCCCATTGATCTGAGAGGTTCGCAAGTAGTTTCTATTTGGTATGCTGTTAATTTAATTTTAATTGTTCAGTTATTGATTTGGATGTTTCTGGTCAGATGTTTTTGTTTTGTTGATACCATGGCAAATTTGCCAAAATGAGAATGAGCACTTCACTGATAACTGTTGTTTCTAGATAAAAGAAGAGTGGATGTCATTCTCAGAAAAAGTAGTTTTTTGGCACTTACGAAGTTGGAAAGTCATCTGAGCAACTTTCATGTTAATGTTCTTTTTGGATGATACTGTTTTTGTTTTCATTTAACATTTAAACAGAGAGAATACATTCCAATTAAATATAAATAATTACATAATCAATCTGTATATAGATTATAGAATCATATATAATTCTTTAATTGATATTGTATCTTCTTTCAGATTTTTCATTACCAGCTCTATTTTAGATCTAACAATAGTTGGCTTAGATGCCATTTATGGGGAATCAAGTATCCAGGGCCCGCAACCTCATTTCTTGAAGACGTGTTCAAAACTGAATCTTCATCTGGGCAGCATTGTCTACCTTCTAGGCTACGCAGAGAAAGAAGAACTCACAGTAGGTGACGGAAAGCTGGTAATAGCCACTGACAATCTCATAAAACTGTCAACTGATGGAATAATATGGAGTCCTGGGTCTGCTGGATTTGACATACAAGGGAATCTTGCATTCATGATCTGCGACCCTATGAAACTAGCCACCTCTCCAAATACCAAATCCTCTTCAACATCTTCTTCATCCTCATCATCGTGGAAGAAGGAAACTCCAACACAGTTTGGCATCCCCATTCCCATAATTTGTGATTGGTTAAGCCAGCATTGGGAAGGCAGCCTTGATGAAACAACTAAATCCAAGCTACCAATTATTAGATTGATGTCCACAGGCCTGAAGAGTGAGCAATCTTGTGCTTCTTTCACAATGAGGCAGGTTTTTAAGTCTACAGAAGCATATTATGATGCGACTCCCTCATCATCAAATATAATCTCAAAAGCTAGGGACCAACAGGGACCAAGTTGTTCCACTGCAGCAAACACTGTTAAAGAAGAAGCAAAGTCTGATCCACAAGCTACCCATGTGCAAGGAATCCCAACCCCAGAAATATATGAATCACCCAAGTTAACTGCAGTTCCTGTTAAGAAGAAAGAGACCAGCCAAATACAGCTTTTGGATATAAATTTCCCTCCAAGGATTGCGAAAGCTGCAACACTTTCACAGCCAGTAAAACGATTGCTCTTGAACTCTGGTGTGAACGATGTCAAAGAAGAAATTCCTCCAAGAAGCCCACCACATGAAGAAAATGAAATCAATAATACAGGTGAATTCAGTAACAGTGCAGATGCTGAGGTTTCCTCAACTGGTTCTGTTAATGGTGCCCAAAGTGAGGTGCATTCTAGTTCACCCCCCACTGAGGTTTCAGGGATGCAGAATGGATATAGCAGCGAGGTGGAGACGATGTACTCTGCTGAAACGGCTGAGAGTCGGAACTACACAAGTCCCAGAGAGGGGAAGTTCCAACAAGTGGGAAGGAGCCAAAGTTGTGTTGGTTACAATATGTGGGGAGCTGTTCAGAGGAATCCATTGGCTCATAAGACATCACTGGAAAAGCAGAGAAGCTTTGTTCATGGGAGAAAGACATATTCACCAGGCGCAACTTCTCAAAGGAGTAATGACTACTTCAGCCCCACGGTTGCTTCAATCATGAAGAAACGAAACTCAGAACAGCCAAGTAAACCCCGGCAAAATTCTGTTCATTCATCCCCAAGATGGATGTTTTGATTTGTCATCCCACCACAAATATATAGATCTTTCTTTATAGTGTCTAAATGGATGCCCTCCATGCTTGTAGTGTAGTGCAACCCAATTGTTTGTCACATTGTGCAGACAGGTATAAAGTGAATGAAAAACTCAGCTGGATTGGTTATAGAACTTGTAATTCTACCTGGTGATTAAAAATGTCCTTTCAGATTTTTGGTGGAACAATTCCATCTAGATTTTTTTATTGTGAGTTATGTACATCTTATGCCGAAAAGGAAAATTTTATGCCTTGAGGATTTGTTAGGTTATGACAAACTACGTAACATAATTACTGAATTTAACTAACATTCGTGTAAGGATAGTCTTCAATGTCAAAGAAGCCCTCAATTCCATCTAAAAGATGGTAGAAAGAAGAAAATTAAAAAAATACAACTAAATTCTACAAAATTTATAAAAACTAAGATAAAAATCTAAAACCATAACTGTACTAAACAAAATCTTGTATAAATTTTTTTTCTTTTTTATAAATGTCTCAATTTCAAATCTTTTATGCTATTATTAATGTTTTTGAATGCCATCTTTTATGCTATTATCAATGTTTTTCAATGCCATTCCTTTTTTGGCAGCTTTTATTCCAAGAATTTTGGAAATGCAAAACCAAAGAGAAAAAATTAAAAAATCCCAAGATGCTCTTGCAGATCCTTCAAGCTCATCAATTTCAATAGGATGTCTCACACAAGGAAGTCAAAATGTTAAGATTAGACCAGCCATGATTCAAGCTACATAATTAGGATTTTTTTTTTTTATATGACTGTCAAAGATTCTGATCATTATGAGTTTTGTCACATGTCAATGTGTGCGTATATTTTGTGAAATGGCTTTGTTAAATTGTCATATGATTTGTCATGAGCTTATTTTTTTTGTAGACACCGGCTCAAGCAGTTGTTTATGTAAGATGACTAATTAAATTTTTGCATAATGGAATACCTTATCAGTTCAGCAGTTTGTTTTCATTTGGTTCAATTAATTCACCGACCAATTATGGTTATTGTATGACATTATGATGTCAACCCCTACAACAATTCCATCTTACAGTGCTCAAAACCAGGATTCCCCATTCAGCCAATTTGACATACACCTGGTGGGCATGGCTTAGTGTTGCTCCAATTCTTTTAGACGGTAAAGCTTCAAACCCACAAAAATTAGACACATAGCTAACAATCACAAATCTCCATCTGATTCATGAAGGAATACTCAATCAAAAAAGAGCCATAAAAATAGAGTACTCAACAATTTAAGGCTAAACCTTCAAATTTGTCCCCAAATAAGGATAGGATAAATCCACCCCTTTAAAGACAAATTACCTCTTTAAAGACAAATTACCCCTTTAAATTGTCGATTGAAATAAATGACATATTATTTAATGGTTGATGTCATCACATGTTAGTTTTTAGTTAAAAATAAGTTTAGATGGCAAATAGATTCATGACATGTGATAATGTCAATTGTTAAATAATGAGTCATTTGTCAATTGATAATTTGAAATGGCAATTTGTCCTTTCCTTTTTTTAAGGGATTGATCTATCTTGCCACCTTATTTGGGGGTGGATTTGGGGTTTGGCCACAATTTAATCCACTCCATAGTAACAAACAACACTCAAATAATATTTTCTATTGCCTTAACCAAAAAAATATATATATATTATGCAATTTGAAATGTATTGTACTGTACAACACTAATTATTAGATAAAAGTTGGGTCTCTTGATATTGGGGCCTCCTCCCACCTAATGATCCATGTTTTAAAGTCCAGTATAGTCTAATACATCTCTAGCTTTTGTTTAATTCATAATATTAAAAGTTATTACATAAAATCTCTTATTGGTCTCAATTATGCTCTTCATGTAAATTTTCATAATGATCAAGCATTAACAAGCATTAAGAATAATATATATATTTATCATAAAATAGCAATCTCCAGAACAAAAAATTTATAAAAATCCTTATCAAATTGATAAGATTCTATTGTAACTTTAGTTTGTTATATTAATTCACAATGAAAATAATAAAATTTGAAGTTATAGTTATGAATTAAGAATTCCTGTCAAAATAAAGAATAAAACTCCAAAAAAAAAAAAAAACAAACTGAATTTAAAAATATTGATGTCTTTAATTTTTTATTATTAATAAATTTTTATCATTTCTAATTTAGTCTCTAAAAATGCTTGAAAAAGTCTGGCAAAACCTACTTTTAGCCCTTTACTTTAATAAGTTTGTAAGTTTTAATTATTACTTTATATTAAAATACTTTTAGCCCCCACATTTACGAATTGAAGAAAATAGCCCATCACTTTTCAAATTAAAGAAAATAACATTTACTTAATGTCAGTTTATAATGTTCGTTAGCTAGCTGATTGTTAATATTTCGTTAACTCTATTCCTGTCACCATTAACAGTTTATCAACTAACTGTTAACAAAATATTAACAGTCAGCTAACGAATATTATAATCTCACGTTAAATAAAAGTTATTTTCTTTAATTCGTATATGTGAGAGGCTAAAAGTATCATAATATAAGTTAAAGGGTTAAAACTTACAAATTTATTAAGGTAAAAAATTAAAAGTATATTTTTGCCTAAATGGTCTAGAAGAACTCTCAAAAAATGTCACCGAAAGCCCACTTAATTCTAGTATTAAATGAGTATTTATAAGAGTATAAAAATCCTAGTTGGAATGGTAGTGGGACCCAACCCACACCAAAATACTACGTACTTGCCGAAGTGTAGTTGAAAATTGCCCGACGGATCGATACATCAAGCTGAAGTGCTGACACCTCCACCAATATCGTGACCCGTGAAACAAAGTCTGAGAATTTGGGGCCAAAATCAAAGTAGTCAATACCGTACCGGCATGCGTATCGGTTTTGTTATTAGAACGGTACGTATCGGATACCAGAATTTTTCGCGTACCATTTCGGATTTATCGCTATAAATATATATTTTTATAAATTAAATATCAAATTTTAAAATAAAATAAGAGATATTAATATTTAAAATTATTATATTTTTATAAATTAAA